TTACACTAACCATTTGTATTACAATTAGGGTCATCTGTTACTGTTTGTATTCTGTTTGCCTATCTCCCACATGCTGGGTGGCTTGAATTGCATGCTTCTTTTTCGGGTATGTGAAACAGGGCCATGTCCTAATCAGAGCTGTACAAACCACTGAGCTCAGAGCAGGGCGGCTGCCTCTGCGTCCTTATTACCCACCCCCAGTTCCCCTTCCTCTACCCCTTTCCCCCAGTCCACACCCAAACCTTCCATTTCTATGTTATTCTTCCTGTCACCTGTCCTTTTTAGTACCTAGACCTAGCCTGATTCATGGTAGGACCTCAGTACATGTTTGACACTAAACTGTTTTCTTTAGTGGCTCCTACTGAATCCTGAAATCCATTCTATGCCTACAATTTCTCCTTTACATAATGAAACCGGGTACTTCATTTCAACTCACTCAAAAAAGGCTTTGAGGAAAACCACGCTTTCCTGAATTGGGTCAGCTCTAAGGTGGGCTCAGCAGCCACTCAGGAATGTATTAGGTAACAATAATGAAGCTTATTTCTCTGCTTGGATTTGAAGAAAGATAAGTAACTAGAATTCAGCTTGATGAGAATTCTTGGGCAACGTTTTCAAATTTCTGCTAAATTCTCCCCCACCCCTCTTAAAAAAAAAAGTAGCATCCAAAAACAATTTGGCAGCATAGGAAATTATCTGTAAATCTCTAGAAAATTACAAGACTACAGGGATTAAGAATAGCATAAATGGTTATAAGAAAAATAATCACAAGTAAAAGTTGTGGTTTTGGTGTTTTTGGCCACATAACAACCTCTTCGATGCTCCAGTTGTTCACTTTCTCTATAATCAGTGTTTGATTATCAGATGAATGAGGGAGGAGCCACCAGACGTGACTCAGTGAATGGGAAGCCAGTTCAAACACCTCAGGAAGGAAAGCAACGAGTTCTACCAGCACAGAGCCAAGGGGGAAACTGGCATCCGAGGCTATGCACTTATTTTCAAATTGAGAGATACTGGATCCAAACATGAAAACATAACACTTTAGGACTAGGGTAACATGGATATGTTGACATCGCATGCTATGACATTTCCAAGAGAATAATGAAATGTTTGGCAAATTTTGCAAATAAATAGGTCTTTCCCTATGTAAAGTATTTGCAGTCTCCTGAAACTTTGTTATAAATGGGTGATTAGACCACCTACTGATGGCGAGGCTACATGGGTGGGATTATATAAGCTTGAGAGATGTGGAAAAGGTTATGAGTAGCCCCTGAAGCAGGGGCTACTTGACCCTAAAAATACCCCGTCAATTCAAAGGGCTTCTGTAGCATATTAGAGGCATGGGCTTCCCAGTGAAGACAGACTCAGGGCTGAATCGCAGCCTGGCCACTGACTGGCTATATATCTTTGGGCCAGAAAACCTCCCTAAGCCTTGGTGTCTTCATCTCTATAATGGGCATATGATATCAGCTGATAGGTGGTGTGAGCTTTAGACACAATGCGAAGCACGTGGAAGTGCCCAGCACAAAACAGGTGCCCGGCTGGTAAGCACAGCCTTGTGGCTAAGAGCAAGGGCTCTGGGCCCAGCTGCCAGTGCTGGAATGCTGGCTCTGCCACTAATTCACTGTGTGACTTTGGAAAAGTCACTTAACCCCTCTGAGCCGTTGAAATGGGAGTGGTAATGTGGGATGGGGACAATAATCAATAACCAACTCTGAAATAGAAATGACAACAGAGCAGTTGCAAGGAACCAATGAATTAATACATGCAGAGCACGTAGGACAGGGCCAGACTCATTGCCCTCTAAAATATCAGTGATGATTAGCTAGAATTACTCAATCACCCCACCAGAAAAACGGGGCGTGGCCTGGTGGTGGAAGCAAACTGGTATGCGGAGAACCAGGCCAGTGCAGGGGTTTGGAAGGGGTTGTGTTGGCAACATATGTCAGTAGCTTAGGAGTCCACAGATGCTGCCCCATTGGTCCCTGGCGTGTCAAGTGGTTTCACCCAGAGCAGTCAAGAGTGAAGCCCAAGTCAGGGGAATACGAGCTAAGACACCCCCAAGGTACACATTACAGCCATGCGGCTGCAGGGCACAATGTCAGACCCATGCACGTGGGCCATGCAGCCCCCACGCTGCAGCCAGCCGGCCTCCTGCATCCTGGTCCACAGAGTGCAGGGGCTGCCCCTTCCTCTCACAGCCGTTCATCCTCTGGCATAGTTATTTAAATGGCGCATCTCTGATGAATGCTGTATTTCACCTCACGAAAAAAACTCATAAAGAAAACAAATGGGTTGTTCTGGCTTTATTTCTAAACATGCTAGTAAATTACCATCTCTCATTGAACTGACACTGCGTTACGCAGGAAATAGCTATTTGTACCTTATTCCACTTAAACACACACAGAAAAGCATGTTTCATTAACTTTCCAGGATCTTCTTTTTCCAGGAAATGCTTTGTCTCTCATTCACTCTCTTTCTTCTTAAGAAATAGCTGAATATGAAAAAGAAACAGGTTTCCTAGTGGACAAATTACTACAGGCCCACATGCTCTCATGCCAGATTCTGAAGTCAGGAGTTTTCTGGAAGCTGAGTTTCCTTGTAACTGGTGTGGAGGCACAACTGGCCTGAACTGACCCAAGTCTGGAAGTTTGAAAAATGTGTCTCCCTTGGTGTGATCATCACACAGATTACAATATGCTGCCCGAGCCCCAGTGCGGAGCTGGATGGAAGGTGCACTGTTTTACTCTCCAAAAATCTGTGTCACTCTCCTGACACCCCTAAATTCTTAATTCTGAGATAAATCAGGCCCCAGGGTTTACAGATACAGGACTGTGGACCTCTAGGAGTTTCTGATACTGTTATGTTCCAAACACCATTTTGTGAAAATAGCTAGGGAAAAAGATAATGCTAGAATTTTGTTTAAACTACCTTCTTCATTTAAAACCAGAACTTGGGCTTGACCCTTCAGGTTGCTAATCTCATGATTTAAAATGGACAATAATCACTCAGAAACTTAGCCCCAAATTTTGTCCGTGCCTCACAGGATGGCACGGTAACTCCTACCATCCGAGGTTCCACAGAAAACACCCAGAGGTGCAGCACATACATAAGAGGACCTGTGGGGCCACCCAGAACACACACGTCCTGTTTTGGGGCACACGTTTGCAGGAGCTACTCTGCTGGAAGCCCGATCGGCTCCGGACCCCAGCAGACCTGGGTTTCAATTCCTGCCCCCTGAGCTTGCCAGGTGCACGACGCGGGCCATGTTAGGGCCGCTGTGGACTTGAGTATCCCGCGTGTACATCAGGACACTGCCACACTACTCACGATTATGGGGCAGAGCTGAACTAAGCGCCCGGTCCACAGCGTAACAGGCTGGTGGCTCTCTACACCCTTCCCACACTGTCTTTGCTCCTCTGACGGAGACATCTCTGGGGACAAGCTGTACGCAGGAAGCTTAGTGTTCACTCGCTTCCAAGTGGACAAGCTCACAGAGGTGCCACCATTTGTGCAGCAGGTCTGTTATTACAAAGCGGACGGAAACAGATTTGTGTTGAGGTCCGTGAACCAAACGTGACATCAGAACCTCTGAGGCAAACAGGTAATAGCGGAGATGAGGGAAACGCAGGGGGACAGCCATCCAGGCCCCGGGGGACTGGGGGCAGAGGCGTCCCGTAAGGACACCTGGCTGTGGCCGCTGATGCTTCCATGTGGCTGAGGAGCTGGGAGCCAGATGCTCGGAGGCCTTTTCAAAGGTCCCAGCTACTGCCCAGGTTGATGGCATGCTCAGATGCCTCATACCTCCCGTCTGGGTACACAACGCCCACAGAACGGTTAGGAAAGGAAAAACACACAGCAGGCGCCACGCACGGCCCAGAGGTTATCGGGAGCTCAGAACAAACGTTAATGTTTAACTGAATAATGGCGATTGTGAAACAGGCTTAAGATTGGCCAGAATTCTCCCACCTGGGGCTTTCCCATTCTTGGTCGTCCTTGTCTTTCTCTTCTTTGGTGTCGCCAGCATGTGGGTGTTTCTGCACAATTCGCATTCCACCGGCTTTCACTAGAATGAAAACAAAGGGGGCGTGTGAGGGGTGTGGAAAGGGGGCCACCAGAGGGCTAGAGGAACCACCCCAAAGGTTTTGGTTGCCCATGGCCACCAGTGAGGCCAGATAACCTGGCAATGACAATGACAAACGACAGAAGTCAGTGTCATTGGGGGAATTCAGGGTGATACGCCACTCAACGCTCTCTTTTACTCCAGATCCAGTTAGAAACTCCGCAAGGCTCTTGTTTGTTTGGTCCCTTTATAAGTATGTCAGAGAGCGCACTGCAGCCAGAGGGCAAGAGAAAGCGGCTGCCTGCTGACGCTGTGTGTCCTGATGCCCACCAAATCCCTGCCCTGTGGTATTTTCTCAAACACCGACGCTGCTTTTCCTTTAAATCCCGAATTGTCTTGCATTATTATTTTAAAATTACAGTTGACATACACTATTATATTAGTTTCAGGTGTACAGCATTTATAGTCCTTACACAAAGTGATCACCATGATAAGCCTAGTCCCCATCTGTCACCGTCCAGTTATTACAGTATTATTACTATATTCCCTATGCTGTGCTTTACATCCCTGTGACTTATTTTCTAACTGAAAGTTTGTACTTCTTAACTCCCTTCCCCTTTTCTGCCCATCCCCAACCCCTCTCCTCTGGCAAACATTAGTTTGTTCTCCATATTTATGAGTTTGTTTGTTTCATATTGTTTTTTAGATTTCACATATAAGTGAAATCATACAGGATTTGTCTCCAGCGATACTTCTGGTGGGGCAATGCAGCCACAGGTGACATGGGACAGTTGCTTTGCCATCAGATGGCCGTTAAGGTTTCTGTGTCAGCCTTTCCCAAACTGTGTTGTGAAACCTTAGTGCTGGCAGATGTTAGTTTAAAAGTTTTTTCATACACAAGTCACCCATTGAGAGCGTATGGTTTCGCCTATATTCAGAGTGGCACACCCACTGCCACAGTCAACTTGAGAACATCTCCATCATTCCCTCTCCACAGCTCCTAGCAACCAGTCATCTGGATTTGACTATTCTGAATGGTAGACATAAATGGAATCACAAAATATGTAGCCTTTGGTGACGGGCATCTTTCACCTAGCGTAACGTTTTCAAGTTGTGTCCAGGTTGTAGCATTGTCGGTATTTCATTCCTTTTATGGATGCATAATACTTCATCACGTGGATAGACCGCCTTTCTTGTATCCATTCATCTGCTGATGGACATTTGGGTTGTTTTTATATTTCGGCTATTATGAATAACGCAGCCATGAACAATGTGTGTACGAGTTTCTGTGTGGACACATGGACACACACCTTCATTTCTCTGTGTATATACCTAGGAGTGGAGTAGCTGGGTCACAGCGTCTTTACCCTTTTGGAGAAATGCCAAATGGCTTTGCAAAGCCACAGCACCAGCTTCCATCCAACCAGTCTGAAGGTCCCAGTTTCTCCAGTGCTCGCCAACGTTTGTTATTATCTGTCTTTTTAATTATAGCCATCCTAGTGGATATGGAGTGGAATCTAATCACAGTTTGCTTTCTATTTCCTTAATGGCTGTTGATATTGTTCTGCAAGAAAAAAGCCAAAAAAATGTGGATTCTAGAATCTATTAAGTGTGGCAAATGCTAGGTTAAACAAATTAAATGGGTTTCCTCAAGATAAAGTTTCTCATCCTGTAGTGAGGGGCACAGAGCAGGCCGTCTCCCCAACGCATTTGGCCACAGAACTTTTTTCTTTTGCAGTAATGGGGTGTGGGGGTGGTGGTGATCAACCTTTAGGACTGCAGTGTTCCTTGGAATAGTTTGGAAATGCTGGCCCCATCTCCAAAAAGCTGACGTGCTTTGGGGTCAGCAAGCTCTTCCATGTCCTCAGCTACAATACAGGGTCTCAGACTCGGCCCCTTAAAGCCTCACTGCATCCTCCACAGAAAGGGGAGAAGCTTAAATGAGAAGAGGCTGTAGAAACCCTAACCCTCAGTGTGATGGCGTCTAGAGGCGGGGCCTTTGGGAGGCGATTAGGTCATGAAGTTGGAGCCCCCATGATATGGGATTAGAGTCCTTGTAATGGAACCCCAGAGAGCTCTCTTGCCCTTTCCACCATGTGAGAACCTAGAGAAGATGGCTATCTGGGAACCAGGAAGAAGCCTGTACCAGACATGGAATTGCTGGCACCTTGATCTTGGGACTTCTAGCCTGAAGAACCATGAGGGCTAAACTTCTGTTGTTTATAAGCCACCAGTCTGTGCCGTGAACAGTTAAGGCAGAAGCGTTTGGTAGCTTCCGGCACAGGCGAGTTCTTGATAGAAAGTAGAACTGTGTCAACTACACTTACCAGCCCCCAGGCTCACACGCCTCGTCCTCCCTTCTCAGGACAGCGACTGTGTTCTGCCATCACATAACACAGTCAACTTGTCAGGCCACATCCTCTGGCCTTTCAAATTTGGCGGGACCCTGCTGAATTAGCAAAGTCCCCAACAAGCTTCTTAATGATGCTGTAGAACAGGAAGGAGAATGTGAAAACCCCTGAGGCTCACACACTTATTCATTAGTGTTCAGTTTCCCTGGGAGAGCAGGCCAGCCCCTTGGCTTCGGGAAGCTACATGGCCAAAGGTACTTAGCAGCGGTCTATCAGAAAAAGGCAAAGGAGTGCCTTACTCATGTCTCATGTTTTTAACGCTTTTATATATTTAAACATACTTGTTAGACATACTTGTCTTATAGGTGTAAATCCAATTGTTTTATTATCGGACATCCTTGGTAGTCTAATCCACTGTCTGTTTTTGGCTGCTGACTCTTACTCTTATTGGGGTGACTGTGGATTATGAGCTTGTCTTCAGGAGAGCTTTGTCTGTGGGGTCCCTCTGGGGCCTGGCACGCAGGCAGGATTCTTTTGGAGAGATGCTATACGTGCTCCTGTCAGACCAGCAGTACAAGCACCTGGAAACCTTTTCTACGTCTGATTCCTCAGGAATTGCCAAACAGTATAAACCTGAACGCACAGCCCATGTAAAGGCAGGCCTGCATTCAGATTCTCAAGGATGTTTTCTCTCCATCCAGAGCCCAGGCTGAAACAGACTAGCTTTCTCCCCACCCCACTGGCCACACTTCTTTCTCCGCACTTTCCCCAGGGATTTGGCCTCTGAACACCCAGCTTTCTGCTGGGGTCTTAGGTGAAATGAGGCCATTGGGGCGGGCCCTAACCCAGTCTGACTGGCGTCCTTACAAGAGGAAGAGCCACCAGGCCACTCCCTGCCTCCGTGGGCCCAAGGCTCTGCTAGCTCTTCTGCATTTTGCTTTCTTCTTTGGGTGTGGCTCTTAGGGATTTCCCTCACTTTGGGCTCAGATGTTTTTTAAAAAAGAAGAAAACAAAAACACCGTTTGCAGATGGCTTATCAGGATTTCTCGGGTTATGTAATATGCCAACCCTGAAGAAATGGAGACTGAAAACAAAATTCTATAGCACATTTAAGATGATTCCTCACTCCATTGAAATGTAAGATTGGAGCGTTATGAATGCTTTTTGCCCAAGGAGGAGGCTGGGAGAATTGTACCACAAAATGTCCTGTTTTTAAAAAGTTCGTTTTGCTCTCTCATCTATCCTGCCCCATCCCATTCCCATTAGAAATGGATTTAAAGTGCTGCTATGGGCTGAACTGTGGTCCCTCCAAATTCTTATGTTGAAGCCCTAACCCCAGGACCTCAGAATGTGACTGCATGTGGAGACAGGGCCTCTGAAGGAGTGATTAGGTTAAAACGAGGCTGTTTAGGTGCAGCCCTGATCCAATAGGATGGGTGTCCGTATAAGAAGAGGAAGAGACACCAGGGAGGCAGGTGCACAGAGAGAAGGCCACCTGAGAACACAGTGAGAAGCCAAGGAGAGAGGTCTCAGGAGAAACCAGA